AATTCGCGATGTTTGTGGATTTATTTTGTTATGTTCTTGTATAGGAACTAGTGATTATATTTTGTGTATTCTATAGAAAATTTCATGTACATTTTAATAAAAGAAACGGTTTATCAACATTTGTATATGCTTTTCGTTTTATCGACATAAAGTTGAGATGACTGATTTGGTAGCGATTTCAAGTGCCTTGTTGCGAGTGCTTGAAACTATAAAATGAAAAAACCTATTCCATCCGAGACTTGTAACTAAAGTAAAATAAACAATCCAACATAATTAAACGTCAACACATAAATCAAGGCACTTGGATCTCGCATTTGTTTTTATCAACACTTGAATCACACGACCCTTTTTTTTCTGTTGCGTGTTATATTTTATAATTGTATTTGGTAAGTTATTATATACATTCATTTATATATAGTACATTCTATATGTACAAAAACCTGGATTTATAATTTACAAATTTTGAAAATATACCTCATTTTACCTATTTAAACGACTTTTTTATCTTTCCTGAGTTTACCATAATGTAATTTAAATAAATTATAGACATGACGCATTGTGTACACACTGTTTTATTCAAAATTTTATGGAGAATCCAAATATACGTTTGTGAAGGGTATTTTTACAAAATAACAGAGAAATCGGCAGAACAATGCAATCGTTCCCACCCAGCGGGCGGGCGGTCCATAAAGAAGTTCGGCACTTGTAGGTGAGAACGGCGCATGACCTTTGGCTCACGAGAGGTTTAGAGAATAAGCTTACGATATTTTTTTCCAATATTTTATAACGTTATGGAATAACGTTATTACATTTTTCTAATATTGGGGTGTTTTATATGACTATGGTAACACTGGCTAATGCACTACATACATAAAAAACCGGCTTCACTTTTTGGTTCGGCAGACTCCGTCTTTACTTTTTATTTGGTCTGAGATTTGAAAACAACCCAACCGCAAGATACATTATAAATAACATTGTACCAAACTAAGTACGAGGACATAACATCACATTATCATTATACTTAATAAAGTTCTTTATATTTTATTTTATCTAGTATACTTTTTTAATATTATTTAGCGTGTGATAGACTAAGTAACCTAAGACAGTCGTTTACTTCAATCATTATAGTAAGGATGCTTATTGAGCTAAAAGTCCTGATACAAATCCTGGTCAGGACAATGCTTGTTTATGTGTATTGTGTAGAGTAGAACAAGGCCTTAAGCAACCGAAAAACTGAACTTCCAACTAAGTAGGTAGTTGGATTTTTTCTTCTAAGATAGCTATTTAAACAGTGTAACCTTAAATTAACGCTACTCGATTAAAAAGACTAATTCCCGAAAACGTCGAAATTACTTGACTCTGGTTGGTTTACCTTATTGTCCATACAATGACATACTATGGATGAAGATAATTAAAAATATTCGAAATGAAATAATGTTTCATAATTAATCCCCCTTTTTTTACACTTACCAATTAGCCTAGCCCCGGAGTAAGCACTGTAAGGCGTGTGTTATGGGATGCTAGGGTAACGGATAGAATACATATGTAGTACATTTATAAGTATATTGATATAGAAATACAAATTAAACATCTATGACTGGAGTACAAATGCTCGTACTCAGCACACAAAAACATCTGCCCCCAACAGGATTCGAACCCGGGACCTCTCGAGTCGCCGACACCATGAAACCCGGCGTACAAACCACTCGACCACGGAGGTCGTCAATTAATATATCCGTCCTATATAATCATCCTTGTATCTTTAAATATTATGTTCGTTATAGTTACTTTTATCTATGGAATTGTACTTATTTAACTTAAAATAACTAAAGACCCCCGGGATGGAATTTGATGCGCTTTGGCACAGATGATCATGACTATAATACCTTTCAAACAAATGTAGTTAAAGCCGTGGCGGACGTGGGTGCAGTGTCCATGCAATTTTGCCCATTGTCCTTTATGTATTCGAATTTACATAATTTTCAACTAAATTAATCATTTTCATGGTTGGTCCCGATAGAGATGGCGCTACTGTCACGAAGACAGATTAAATTTGAAATGTGGAAGTTGCTATCTTAACATAATTCGAGATGGCACCACTCGTGTTCAATACCGAGTATATTGTGTTAGTGTTTCATTTATTAAATCGAGGTAATTTTACGCAATTTCTTTCTGATCTCATTTTTAAAATTAAATCTAGCAAATACTACTCTAAATTTATAATATAAAAATATCATTTTCGAGTGATTATAGATTCTGGATGTTGCTTATCCATATCCATACTTAATATTATAAATGGGAAAGTGTGTTTGTTTGTTTGTTTGTCTTCTCTTCACGCCTAAACCGCTGAACCGATTGTGATGAAATTTGGTATATGTATAGCTTGAACTTATGAGACTGCTATAGGCTACTTTTTTTTAAATTTATGTATTCGAATTTACATAATTTTCAACCAAATTAATCATTTTCATGGTTGGTCCCGATAGAGATGGCGCTACTGTCACGAAGACAGATTAAATTTGAAATGTGGAAGTTGCTATCTTAACATAATACGAGATGGCACCACTCGTGTTCAATACCGAGTATTTTGTGTTAGTGTTTCATTTATTAAATCGAGGTAATTTTACGCAATGTCTTTCTAATCTCATTTTTAAAATTAAATCTAGCAAATACTGCTCTAAATTTATACTATAAAAATTACATTTTCGAGTGATTATAGATTCTGGATATTGCTTATAATCTTTATATATATAATTCTTCTGTGAGTGTGTATGTCACTGAACTTCTCTTAAACGACTGGACCGATTTTGATGAAATTTTTGTGTGTGTTCAAGGGGATCTGAGAATGGTTTAGATTCACAATTTTGTCCGCTGGACAACCCCTATTTTTTTAGGGGGGTACGAAGTTCGCTGGGTCAGCTAGTAATAATATAAAATAGAGATAGCGCTACCATCTCGAACACCAACTCAACCGAGTAGTCTCTCTTGAAATAATATTTTCTGAGTAACTTAACAGATGACACCACCCGTCTTTAAAATCGAGTATTTTTAATTGCTAAAAATGTGAGTTGTGATATTTCAGATCGCGCTATTTATGAACGTGACTTTTTAATATTTATTGTTAATTTTAACGTGATGTAAGTAGATATTTTAATTAAAACAATATTAGTAAAAAAAACCGACTTCCTTCAGTGTCCTAATATCTTACCAGAAAATCTTATAAACATCAAATAGATTTTAAATAATCAGCTGTTTACAGTAGACCAATGGTTCCCAACCAGTGGTCCGTGGACCACCAGTGGTCCGCAGAAGCCAAAATATGGTCCGCGAATGAATTTGAATTTAGCGGGCGCGCCCGCTAAAAATGTTATTATTTCTTCTTATTTAATTTCACATTAGATTTTTAATTAAAGTTTCAGTTTGATTATTACAGTTTATTTTTATTACACTAAAATTTCGTGACTAAATATTGGTCCGCGCCAAAAAATATGTAAAAGTGGTCCCTGACCAATAAAACGTTGGGAACCCCTGCAGTAGACAGATACTAAATAAACAGCTGTTATGATTTATTTTAGTCCCTTAATCGAGTATTATCCAATAATTTTCAAGTTAAGATTGATCCTGGATGTTGAGAGAGGTAGGCGCTACCAACTCGAATAACAATTCGAAAACCAAGCTGTTGCGTGTGAAACTGAAGAGATGTCGCTACCCGTCATTAAAATCGAGTTTACTTGCACTAAAAATCTGAGGTTTTCGGATGGCGCTATTCATGAACATTACTTTTTTATATTTATTGTTTTTAATAGTATTCTGTTATCTGTGCTATTAGAGATGAATCAACGTGGTGGTGTTAAGTGCTTACTATTTCAGCAGGTAAGCAACAGCAAGCAGTAGGTACCTACCTACCTTGATTGATTTTAAAGAAATACGATTTACCAAGGTACCTACCTACCTACATATCTGTTTTTGTTTTCCTTTGTGATTTGGTTTTGTTGTGCATTAAATGAATTAGGTAGGTATTTTGGTAGTTTCTTCGAATGTATAAAATTGGCTCATTTAGTATAATATAACCTACCTACCTCGATTTTTACCAGTAAGATAGACAACGCATAGGTAGGTATTGGTTTTTGTAATAATATGGTATTGTAGTTTTTGATTGGTTTTGTTGCTCTGAAAGAAGGGGTTCCTATTTGGTAGATACCTTTGTAGATAGGTACCTACCTACCTTGATTGGTATCTACCTACATTATCTACTAAGTGCGCATACTATTTCGGCAGGTACCTAGATAGGTAAATACCTTGATTTTAATAAAATACGAATTACCTATCTACATACCTATATAATATATGTTAAGTATCTGTTATTAAAATATTTGGTAAGTAGGTATGTAGGTTGAAGCTTTGGGTTGCTATAAGCTACTTTTTTACTCACTATGTCAAAAGAGGATGATAGCCTCAAATAGGAAAACCACGCGAGCGTAGCTGCGGGTAACAGCTAGTAGGTAATATTTGTAATAAGAATATGTGGAGGTAGTGGATATGTGTCAGGTGAAAGGTGCAGGAGTATTTTCTGGTTTTTACTGGGTAGGGCCTTGCTCATTTCACCGAGCCTTTGGGGTGGGTGAAATGGGCAGAGGAGGTCACAGATACCCTGTTCTTACTACTCACGGTGGTTCAGGGAGGCGTAATGACGTTTTCAGAAATAAAAAAAGGTCGTAAACTATATGCGTACCAAATATCATCCAAATCCATTCAGTGGTTTAGGCGTGAAAGCGTAACAAACACACAAACTCACTTTCGCATTTATACTAATATTAGTTAGCGTGCCGTGGAGCCCCGGCCAGGCCGGGAAGCTGTCAGGTGCGGAGACGCGTTGAAATCTCTCAACGGGGATCTCGCGGTTCCACATTAAACAGCGTAGGGGGTATAATAAATAAAATACAATAAATAGGATACGATAAGTTAGGTACAATAGGATTTAAAAACGGTAATTTCCTTACTGAGAATAATGGTTGCTTCGTTATCATTTCGGCGATGATACAACCGACCGCCCAAAGGTCCACCTTTTCCGTATAGTATCGTGCTCCGTATAGTAGTTCTGGCGCCCGGTACCACCTGTAATGAATACCTTAAGCTTTGAAAATATCGGCCTAGTAGAGTAAAATCCAATTAACTTTTAAGTTTGAATCAAAGTCCTAAATCGTCTAACTAACGATAATGCAGGCAATCTCTTGGCGTTTTATTTATGTGGTAATAACAATAGAATGAGACTTGAAATGATATATTATGATAAGTATTCAAGATCTTGTTTCTATAAGTTTTGAAATTCAAGATAAACGTTCAATGCCACTAAAAATACCCATATGTAATCACAGTGCTATCCACAGAACACAGAAAGAGGTTAGAATGGCCTTGTGGGCGGGGCAGGCGCGTCACAGTTATGAGCAAATGCTCATCACTTGGCAGTAACGTCCGATCGCGTCGTTTAGTTGCTCGCGAACGCTCAGTGAAAGAGTATTGTGGTTACCGCTTAAAATATGCCTTCGTGTGCCGTAATTACTTGCAAAGTAAGGAGTCAATCGTCAAATTTACCTAAAGCAGGAATTTCTTTTCATCGGTAAGTATAGAACTTCTTAGTTAGACTGATATTTTAGCAAAAAATCGAGAAATATTAATTAAAACGATAAATCACATATATATTTCCACAAAAATATTCATTGCTGGCAAAGTACACTCGCTATTTTTTCTACGACATTCAAAACACGAAATGTAGTACGATCAAGCAAGAATGACGCGTGGATCACAGAGCGCGGCACGTGGCCGCACGCAGTACAAGGTCATTGCACCTACTTTAGTGGTGTCTTGCATCGTACATTTTACATTTTCGATAGATTTTATCGACTGAATTTTAGCACCTAATAATGGAATTAAAGTAACTTTTAGAAATAAATAAGAACTGATTATAAATGTTTATCATACTTAATATTATAAAGGGGTTTGTGTGTGTGTGTGTATGTTTGTTACTTCTTCACGTCTAAACGGCTGGAGCGATTTTAATAAAATTTGGTATGGAGTTAGCTGATACCCTGGATTAACACATGGTCTACGTTTTACTGCGGGAAAATATCCCTAATAAACCTCAGGTAACACCGCAGGGCACAGCTAGTACAATATAAATATAAAGCTGAAGAGATGGTTTATAGTCCAGACAAAATAACATTTGACTTGGGAATAATTCGCATAGAGCTGAAAATTGGCAGAGACGTTACATACATCATTATAAATAATATGACAAAAATCTAGTTCGATCCTACTTCTGCAAAAAAAAAACAACTAAAACGTACAATTATGGTTTTTTCCATTTTTCTTGAAAACGGTAACTTTTTTCGTGAAAGTAGGTAAGACAAAAGTTGTAGACCATACAATTCTCTACAAAAATGGTCTGGTCACTTTTTCTCTCACGACTCACCATTCGTGAGATATCGCGGTTTAAAAAAGATAAAAGTGGCCTGAAATATCCGTCCCTGGTGATGTTATAAAATATGCAAAAGTGCAGAAACTGTAATACGACAACATGCAGATAATAATTTGAAAAAAAGAAATATTAGTCCCAAATATAAAAAAAAAGTTTATTGGCACTTCATAATTTGATGGCATATCGTTTCATCAAGTCGGTGAATTCCCATTATCTACCCACGTAACAGATTCAATTAAAGTGGTAATTTAAAAATATATAGATATACGTCTATATTTCTTTTGAAAAATAACTTAAAAAAGAAAAAAGGGTCACCTTTTTCATAAATATATATTGTTTCAAGGTCAACAAATAACTATCTGTAGTAATGCGTTTTACGTTAAATCATTTTCTTTATCTTTACTGACTTTGACAGGATACATAAAATTCCATACAATCAAGTCAAGTCCAACTCGTACTTGGCATATTTAATATCGATAATATTTCCTCGACTCAGTGCAACCACAAACGCTAAAATCGGTGTGAACGAATGAACGCTCACAGTCACGGCTGTGAGCGCTGATTCGTTCGGTTGCTTGATGTCGCGTCGTTTGATTGGCTTATTATCTATTAGGTGGAAGTATAGTAGGGACGAGCCGGCGACATCGGTTCTCACACCGGCGATCGCTTATCACCCTTCTAACCTCTTTCTGTGTTCTGTGGTGCTATCCCTTAAGGGACTCAAAATCATTCAAGTTTATGTAAGGATTGCGTAACAACTATGTAAGAAAATTCGGAAAAAAATCATTTATGTTTTCATTTCATAACCTAACAATTCTACGGCATAATATACAATAAATGTACCTTGTTGCCACTTGATGGGAATAGGGTCTGCCACCGTCAGGCCAGTATAACCGCGCCAAACCCAAATCGGCAATTTTTAATATACCCTCATGATTTATCAAAAGATTAGCCGGTTTCAAATCCTATAAATTAAAAACGGTAAATTACATATTATCTTAATTTTTCATTTCAAATATATCCTTATATACTATTTTTCCTATTATGTCCTACTCCTACTCTAAAGAGGTTAAGTTGGTGAATTGTGAGTATGCGACGTTGTAGGGGGTAATCTCCGGATCTACGGAACGGATTGAAAAAATCTTTTAAGTACAGAGAGTGCCATAGGCTGTAATATTAACCCGAAAAATTAATAGGAGATTGTTGCATCGAGTGTTAAGTGTACGAGTATTATATTGGTGCCCGAGCACATGCGAGGGACTCCTTTAGCAAGGTTCGTTATCTACTTTTATTTCAATTACCAATCGACCCCCATGATAAAATATAGCTACTCAAATAAAAAATTACATTCATTAAAAATTATTTAGTTTTTAAAGTTATCAATAGATGGCGTTACTGTTGTTTCCACTATTTTTCTATGATTGTTCTGAACTTAGCACGAACCAATATCGAATTGGAATAGTTTGCGAGTGCGAAATGTAAATGTCAAATATGATGGAAACTCGAATAGCAGCGCCACAACGGACGTAACGTGAACTAAAAATCAGTACGTACTCATTTGACAATGAAAGGAGATTGCTCAGCTTCCATACATGTTTGGCCTAAAGACCCATAATCATGAAAAATTGTTTCCTAGATTCGAAATTATATATAAATTACTGTAGAAACGAATATTATTGACGGACACCCCTGAGAACTTCTATAAACCAAATACACTGAACATATTAAAATAATAAAAAACAAATAAGTTATATAGTAAACTAGGGAAATCAAGCCAAGTACCGAAATTATGGATTAGATTCAGATATATAGAGCATGTAGATTAACAGATAGTTGGCTGTTTTTAAAGTTAATGCATAAGAGTAACTTTTAAAATCAGGTGTCATTTCCCGTTATAATAAGGTACTCTGTGACAGAAACTGTGTGATGATTGTGAATGAGCCACAGATTAGAGAGAATTATTAAACTCTCGTTAACCAAAGAAAGCTAAGAGATTTAGGTTCTATAGCCATATAATCAGTAGCTTCATTATTTTGTTATGTTTTTAAGATAACCATATTTAAGATATTTAGTGTATCACACCTTATAATTTTATTTATTTATTAATTTATAGTCAGGGAACGTAGGCCCATAGATAGATACCTTAAAGTCTAACATATTATATACAGATTATAATGTGTTTATGGAGGTGTTTGGCGAAAAATGTATGGCAATAGACTTTATGATGTCGCCTACCATCTATAATAATTGTCTGAGCACATTTGCATCTTGTGAAAATGATAATATAGTTGTGGATATTAATACCACAGTGTAATAAAAAAAATGATTTATTTTATCGATCTTTACAAAATAGATTTGTTTTTATGTTATATAAACAACTTCGATCAGTCTTTGGCTGAATGTTACTACACACATAGCCATTAAAAATTATTTGTATGTTTTCCAAACCGCTAAAATTAAAAGTCCTTTTTAAAGTAAATATATTATACAAAGGTGTCCGTTGAAATCTAATGACTGTAAATTAAATTATAAATTACGCCAAGAATTACCGTGTATGTCAATATTTTTTGTGCATTTGGGCCAATTGGAGCAATCTCCTTTCGGACTCGCAAACTATTCTAATTCGATATTGGTTCGTGCTAGGGGTACGGGTCAGCGTGTAAGATTCGTCTCGGTAAATATAGCCTCACTTGAGGCTAGAGATCTTATTTTAAATTAGTTCGGTTAATACAAAACGAAGTAACTTGCTGGCCAATGACAGGTAAAAATATTTTATTTTGTGGGTCATAGGGTCGATTTCACCTTTATTGTTTTTTTCCAAGTATCATACATAATTTTATTATATAATTTATAAAAGGAACAAGAATTCGTTTAATAAGGTAAAAGGTCGTATGTGCGAAATAACATTTTAGCAGCTGGATTTAGAGGCGTGGGGGCCCTGGGGCAACGAGGGGGTGGGTGCCTCTAAATCTAGACTGGGCCACTTACGATTTGCACCCCCCACCATCTACCCCGTCACCAGGTGGGGACCTAAGGACTTGGGTATATTAAAAAATAAATAAATCATTAGGTCATGTTTAATTGTCATAATATCAACAACTATGGATGCTTATCAAAATAAGTATATTTATCGTTATCGACTTAAGTGTTTAAAATGAAAGACTTTTACTGCATTACTGCATATAATTAGGTCGAATGGTTAAAGAGATAATACAACGTATGGAACCGTGACCGTGTGCGTGACCGACTGAACCACACTCATAATTGCATCACAAGTCAAAATGTTTATCAACGAAGTGGGACGGTTCAGGCTTCAGTTAGTTCTAATATTATATTATAAATGGGAAAGCGCAACCCTGCAGTTCGAGCTGCGATTCTTGCCGTAGGTAGGTTAGGCCAACGAGTAAGATAAAAACCGAGAAAGCATATTAATGAGGATTCTTTATACCCTATGCATGACATAGTGTGCGTGCATATACCGCGTTCCTTTCAGCAGCATTTGGGCGTATGCCTTCACCCTTGGAAGCGTCAGTTCTTGTTGATTGTGATGCAGCATCTCCCACAGTCCTGAACACATGTATTCCAAGACCAAGACCAGGCTCATACCACGGGGGAACATGTCATGCAGCTTTATGATCTGCACAATAAAAAAAGTATAAGTTGGTACATGAGGTCGAGTTTGATTATAGTTATTAAGAAAGAAATAATAGAGATGACGACGGAGTAAAGTTTACGAAATTCTATTTACTCGGCCAGTTAAATTTTTAGAAAATAATGTATACAAATTTATTTCTTTTTCCAATCAACAAAAAAATACAAAGATAATGCGCGTCAAAGTTTGAGAGCGGGGTCTCGTGACGTCACTTCTAAGTTACAAGTTATACAAACATTATTTGGACCTATTTTATATAGGTATCTGAACATAAAGTATCAAGGTAACTAGACACTTTGGTGTTAGATTGAATTGACTAGACATACATCCCACATTACTGTGAATCAAAGGTTACCTAAGTACCTACTTAGTAGGAAAAAGAACACAAATACGCAGTCAACCATTTTGCAAAAATAAGAGTGACATTGACCCGACCCGGTCACCTGCACATACTTTTAAGTTTAGTAGATCATCCACCTATATTGTATGCTCAAATCAGGAACATGAAAAAAAAAAACAAAAACCCTAGCTTTTGATAAACTTAATTGCTATTTGTTGTTGATAATCACAGAACACAGTACCTAGGTACCTATTTCCATGTTCTGTGATGGTGATGATGGAAACTCGAGACGAATTAATCAAAAACGGTAAATTAATAAAAAAATAATTTTATTTTAAATATCCTTATATCTCATAAGGGTTCATCACTTGATTTCAGTTAACCAAAGGTCTTACTAAGGTAATAGCACTTCTGACACTTGGTTCACTGGGTAATGCCATTCGCCTCATGCCTCATTGCTATTTAACTAATAACTGCTTATACAAAAAAAAAAAAACTACTTGGTAGGAACTAACATATTTACATCGAAGAAGTTGCAGTGCTTTTATTTCTCTCATCACATTCACTGGAATGCCGTCTTCCAAGTTTTTGATGAGTATTTTCTTGAGCGCCACCTCCCGTCCTGTGGGCAGATGTTTAGCTTTGAAAACCAATCCGTGCGCGCCCTCTCCGATCCTACCCACCACCGAATAATTGGTGACATCACTGTCCATTGTCCTAAGCGAGGAATAAACTTGAATTAGGTACAGCAAGCTTGGGCACAATATTTACTTTGTTTACGGAGCATTGGTTGTCATGGTGACGAGTGTCGTTACTAGGACACTCGTCGTTTTTTAAAAGGTTTAGTACTTTCAGGACGAAGAATGTCGCTCAAGGAAGTTATACAGGTACCTCAGAGGTAACTCTGGATCTATTAAACCTTGACTGAACCCTTAAAGCCTGCGCAGTCGAGGTACTTTTGTCCACCGAAATAGATCGCTTACAACTGCAATCTTTCAATTCACACGATGGATTAAAAATAATGCGGACAAAAAGTCCCCCGAACTACCGCGGACACCGAGGGACTGGAAAGGACAAAAGTACGCGAGGGACCGAGGGGCGAAAATGTCAACAAATTTAGCCGACCTGTATCACAGCAATACGGATATTTTTTTTTTTTCAACTTTTCGTATTGCTGCCATGATTACCAAAAACCTGTTTTCAGACACTTTAAGTGTAGCATAATTATACTCCCAAAAACGAAAATAAAGTTTCGGAGTCGCCTGGCCGACGCCTCTGTTAATTGTTTTTTTAAATTTACAGCCTTCATATGTACTTTGACAGATGACATATGTCATTACTTATTTCTTTTGTAAAAGTAACTCAAGTGTGCTTTAAATAAAACCAAAACTATCAAATCAATCAGTATTTAATTTCAACAGCCTCAGCGCTTGTTACGCTCCTGCCCCTTTCTTACTATTATACAGCTCACTCGCCAGCTGCTCCAAACGTTGGAACGACGCTCACTTAGTTGTCATACGTTGTGCGGTTGTGGTTTGTAACAGAAAATTCAAGATGCCTCAATACGATTTTTAAATGATATCTGAGTATCGAAAAGTTGTCTGATAGAGAAGGTGCTACACTTAATTTGTCTGATATAAATTTTTTGCACATGTGGACAACTTATTTTATCATGTCCAACAATTTTCAGACATATTGCTATGATACCGATCGGTAAAATTTGTTAATATTTTCAAAACGGTCTCAAAATTTAATGCGTTCACATTTCCGTCTGAAAATTGTTTTGTTCGCATCAAATAACCAAAATTTACTAATAAAAAAGATTTTCAGACGTATTCCTATGAGACATTTTTTATTTTTTTAAGTGATTTTACGGGTTTGCGCTACACCACATAGTCTGAAAAATATGTTTCCGGTATCTCAGAACTATCATTCAACTACAGTCTGCAAATCAGACATATTGCTATGATGCAGTTTGGTAAAATTCTTTGACAATTTTGAAAATTCGGTCAGATCAAACGCTACCCGGAAAATGTCTGATATTGGTATTTTCGAGTTCAAGATAATCGTATCTATCGATTTGATGCGGTTTTGGCCGTATTGCTATGAGACAAAAATTTTGGTCGTGGGCTCTCGTACTAAAAGGAATAGGAAAAAGAACTAAAAATAAGTCAAAATATGATGCATCAAAAAAAGGATATCACGACTGAAAGCATAATGGGAAATATTTGTTGAAATAATTCCTTAGCGTCTTTAGATATCATAATCCCAAATGCAAATAAAATAATCTTAACGGATTTATGAAATGGGAGTTGTCTAAGAATGGAATTAAAAAATTTAAATTAAGGAAACACAGTCGACTAATTTATTAGTAGGTAATCATATTTTTTATCTTTTGAGCTTAAAATAAAGCGATTTAAGTGATTGAATCAACTTCAAGTATGTATGTTGTTCGTATGTTTTGTTTAAACTATAAGTATGTAATTATATTTCAGAAAGATCGTGAAACATTGTTTTATTCAATGTTAAAGTGAAAGCGTGATAAATAATCTCAACAACATGAATAAATAATCAATTCGATATAAAGGGATGGACTCAGCGTTCTCTTTTAGAACGTCCTCTCCTTTTCTTAAACTTTATGTTAATTACAATACAACGTAATCTCAAAATATTGCTTTTATACCGTGCACTTCACTAAATTCCGAGCAACAAATGACCGCAGTCCGCACACCGTGTGCGTTGAGTCCGTGACAAGTCCTCGGCGAACATTTTGTTCATAATACGGGGACAAAACTCCTCCAAAATGTACGTAATGTGGACAAAAGTACGTCGTATGCGCCGGCCATGAACTGATTTAAAAAATTCTTTTACCAATAGAAATCCACGGTATTGGTGAGTGTTATATGTTATAGGGTACACTAGAACAAAAACTGTAGTCTACACCGAAGCGAAGCGAGGGCGGGCCACTAGTTAGATACTCTTATAAAAGCGATGGATAGATAACTAAATCCTTTTGCTTATTAAACATTTAATTTTTATATTTCCATCATAAGGGAGACATAACATTACCCATAGGTGTTAAATTGGTAAGCAATTTATTACAAGCGTGTGATTTCAAATAATAGAACTTTTAATATTGCGTTAAAGTAGGTAGTCAATGCATCTGTGATACAAGTGTTTTAACAATAATGTCAGTCGTATCTTCGATGAATTTAAATTTATTGCCGAACTATCTGTTATTCACATCTTACAATATTTGTACAGGTGGTCTGAACTATGAGCAATGCTTAAACACGAAGTCTATTCTCAGTCGACATTGAAACGGTAAGGAACACGTCAGCGTGGCAAGCAAAAAACCATGGGTTTCATCAGATTGCAAAGTGTGTTTTTCGTATTTTTCCTTTTAAAAGTTGCAAGTTCGGCACATATACTCGTAGTTTTCTCTTCTTTGTCTTTTGCTGATCATCTAATATTTAGAGGTTTTGTATCTCTCCTGACCCAAAGAGGCCACGCTGTGGTTCTGATGACACCATACCCCGGACATTTTCAGTATCCCGATTCTGAGAAAATAGTAGAGCTGGACGTCGGTGGGGAATCTGCGCCGTTTTGGGAAGAATATAAAGAACTATTGCTAAACACGGACGATCACTTTCCTAGACAAAGAACAATAAACGAGCTCATGTTGAAAATAGCAGTAGCACAGTTAAGATCAAAGCCGATGCAAGCACTCTTTATTAACCCGCATATAAAATTTGATTTAGTGATAACGGAGGCGGATGTTCCTCTTTTGTACGCAGTTGCAGAAAAGTATAGTGCTCCTCACATTGCTCTTACTACAACTACTGGTCGCATACATCAACATGAAGCGAAAGGCAATCCAGTTTATCCCACTTTTTACTTGGATGTGAACACGCATTATGACGCTAAAAACATGACTGCATGGCAAAAAGTGACAGAGCTCTATCGTTTAATTAGCACGAGAAATGAATATTTTTACAATTATTTGCCCCTATGCGAATTGGCTGCTAAGAAAATTTTGGGCTTGAGGCGTGATCTCTTGGAAGTGGAATATGACATAGACCTTTTGATAATTGCCAACAATCCCGCTTTAGCTGGGGTAAGACCGTTAGTTCCGGGAGTTGTTCACGCAGACCGTATGCATATCAAATCCGGAATATTAGCACCGGTATGATGTTCGATCTTAAGTTCAATAAAGTAACTATGCTATCGGTAAGTAGGTACTTCCCTGACTGATCAATGGTATTTTTAGGATTTAAAAATAGCATTGGACACTGCTACAAAGGGAGCTATATACTTCAGTTTGGGGGCGATGCAAGACTCGGAAAATCTAGCAGCACCAATTCTGCAAACGCTCATCGATGTTTTTGGTGAACTACCATTCACTGTATTGTGGAGAATGGGAAATACTACCGCAGTGAACTTGCCGCGTAATGTGGTAGCGCGACCCTGGTTTCCACAGCAAGATGTTTTAGGTAAGCAAACACATTATAATAGGTATCATTTTATTGAACTATTGACCGTTTTAAGGAGCTCATTGGATTTTTCTTCGAGAAAACCAAAAACTTATTTACTCTCCAATCACTTTATCAGTGGGAAACGACCATCGAACGACAAAATCACCATAACATCGAACATGTTAACAGATACATAACGAATGATTATGACAATAGGAAAATAAAAAAATCAAATCACGTAGTTAAAGTTAATAAATAGTTCCAGAGCTTTAGGCTCTCTACTACATTAATATTAAGTAAGAGACTCACAATGCAAATATTACACCTTTATACTGGTAAATATACCATTATCTTAAAATAAAATCATATTTACAGCTCATCCAAATATGAAAGCCTTCATTACTAGTGGTGGATCACGATCTCTAGAGGAAGCAGTTTATTATCTAGTGCCAATTGTTGGTTTCCCACTGCAAAGAGCGAGGATACATTTTATGAAGCAAATAACTAGATTCAATGCAGGTGAAATATTGGACCCGTACGATTTAGACAAGGAAGCAATGAAATCGATTATCCTAGCAGTTGCGAACAACGAGAGGTAAGTAAAAAGATAATGGTGTCGATTCTGGCAAGATTCACTCAACTTAAAACTTATTTTAACATCAGTCTGCCCTTTTCATTCTGTATAGAGAATGACTAGGAAACACTGTTTAGCTTTAGAGAATCATGCCAGAATCGACACCAATGTGGACTGTAGCTGTTTTCATCTTCAGTTCACTACAATGAAATGGAATGAAATGCCAATCTATAGAATGTAACGTCCCAATAATACATTTGCTAAGATGAATAGATTATTGCTATTTTGTAACCATTCATCACATACGAATACTTGTTAAAGAGAGATTTATAGATAATTAAAAACTGTATAAGATGCAATTTAAGACTGAAAAATCGACTACATGTCACTTAGCCGCATTTTAGTTTGAGGACGGCAGTAATTATTGTATAACAGAAAAGTAATGAACATTAACAGTGGTAAAATGTTCACATTATGACTATGTGTATGTAGTGAAATGGACAAGCCATATACTTTGACTCAAGGAGAGTTTGTGAAGTTAGGCCTTGACAGTGAGAGTCATATGGTACAGCATTAAACAAAACACAGAAAGAGGTTTTAACAGTGCGACAAAGCTCCGAGGTAACATAATATTTTTAGGGTTCCGTACCCGAAGGGTAAAAACGGAACCATATTGCTGTCACTCTGTTGTCTATCTTAATAATGATCAAACAGGTACTAACTTAATTTTTTCTGCTTATAGTTGTTTATATCTAAATAAAACTTTTACTAAATTAATATTACCTTAATTATCTCTTCGAATCAGCACTCTTCATTAACTACTTTTGTTGTTATTAATTTTCAGTTACAATAAATCAATCACAAACTTGAGGGATTTAATTATTGATCCTTCAATATCTGGACCTGAAAAAACGATATGGTGGATAGAATACGTTTTGAAGCACAAAGGTGCGAAGCATTTACGTTCTCCAGGTGTTGGAGTAGGATTTTACCAATCTTTAATGCTGGACTTACTGTTTTATATCAACATTGGAATCCTTTTGATTTTGTTTTTAATTTTAATTATATTGCGCCTTATCGTGAGAAGATTACTCGCCCGTTTTTTAGGCGATACCGATCTAGACAGCAAATACAAATTGTTATGATAAAAATAAACTAAATGTGACATAAGTACCACTTGCTCTTAATAACTAGGTACCTATTTACTAGTTTATTTTCAAATAAAGGTATCTCAGTACCTAAGTTATAAAATGTTTTATTTCATCATATCAGACGTTCGACACACACTGATGAGCATTAGCCGATCCCACGGACCCCAGATCGATTGGTCCTGCTGTTCATTAGATCGACAGTCCATCTTGTGGGTATTAATAAAAGCTTATTGAGATAGCTGACTGGATTTAGGTATTTAAGTACCATGGACTCCGATACATACCTTGCATGCTAAGACTACTAAGTTTATGTTGTATGAAAAAAACCAAGAAAGAGATGTTAACTGAATATTTTTAATTTAAAACAGTATAAATATGACTGTATAGACTAAATAGCCTTAGCCTTCCTTGAATGAGAGTATATAAAAAAAGTTGTCAATGTCAAATACAATCTGTGTCTTCGTTTTTGTTTGTTGTCAAAAAAAAAGTTGTCAATGTCACCGCTGCGGGGAATCGGCGATGCCCACTTCAGACGTCTCGGGTGCGCGTCTCGTTTACGAACGAGACGGTCGTTGGGGCTGTACCCGGGGGTACAGCCTCCACTTCTTCACAGTTTACTCATCGCCCTCGGCGCGGTCAAGCCCACCGGGTGAGACCCATGAGGGAGGCCCAGCGAGCGGGCGACGGACTTCAGCGGGTGGGGGTGGTGTCTTGTGCGGGGGTGGGTGCGGAAAAAGTTTTGTCGGACTGCCCGAACTTTTTAACAAAGTCCGCGAGCAAGTCCGAGATGTGCAGCAGGAGGCGTGTTGTCGCTTCTTGGGCGGGCTGTGGCTGATCTTGGGTTGTGGTGGTGTCATCTTTGGGCTGGGCGTCAAGTGGGGCGTCCGTCGGCGGTGTGTTACTCGCACGACGGGTCCTTTTGCGGCGGCGTTTTGGGCGGCTGGTGTGCGAGGGAGGAGCGTTCGCGGGGGCCATGAGTGTGGCCGGCGTGGGCTCGCTCACCTCGGTAGGCGGCTGGGTCACTTCTGTTTTGGGGCGGCCAGTGCGGGCCACTGTTGTGACGCGTCGATTGCGCGCCTCGCGCTGGAGCGCGGGGTACGAGCTGTGGTTGGCGGGGTGCGCGCCCGCGCAGTTCACGCAAGTCGCGGGTTGCGCAAGCGACTGGGGGCAGTCGGCGGCGGCGTGCGGGTCACCGCAGCGCAAGCAAGCGCGCGGTGACAGCCGAGGCTGGAGTGGCGGAACCCCTGGCAACGGTGGCACTGCGCGGGGGTCTTCCTCCCTCTCCAGGCTTCGATGTTGATCCCGGACATACTCAGGAGGTTACTCACCGAGTAGATGGCCGGGATGATGTCAGGAGTTCGGCGGAGTGCAGCGTAGTATAGGCTTCCGGGGCGGCCTGCTCGCGCCCGGATCTACTTTGCGTATTCGACCATGAAGCCCTTTTCAGCAAGGGCCTCCGTGATATCTTGCGGCGTGGTGTCAAGGGGCAGTCCACGGATTGCCACCTTGAGGCAGCGGTCTTCTGGGCGGGCGTGCGAGTACCAGCTCAGTCCGGCCTGTCCCTCCAGTCCGGAGAGGTAGGCCAGGACGAGCCGGCCCTCGTCGTTGGCGGCAGGTGAGAAGCGCACGCCCGTGCCAAACGGGCGTACGCTGGGTGGTCGTCCAAGCTTCTCAGGTATAGCGCGCAGGTGCTTCGGCCAGTCCCGCAGCTGCTCAACCACAATCGGCGGGTGTTTACGGACCATTGGGACGTGGGAGCGCCCCGAGAGGGCCTTGGTTGCGTGTCCGGCGGTGGCGCGAGTCGCGCGATTGTGTCGAGCGGGAGCGTCTCTCGTCCGGATTTATTCCAATCTCGTAATACTTCTGTGGCGGCGGCAGCACGAGTGATCGAAACTTTATATAATTACATGCCTCGATCAGTCTCTCGTCTTCGGGGCTGCGGTTCGTGGTGCACGCTTCGTTTTCCTCCATAAGGCGGATGTACGCCCAGATCTAGTCCGTCAACTTCTGTGACAGGAGACCGGAGTCGATGAGACGGGACGACATCGCTGCGTCTAATTCATATTGGACGCGAGGCGATCCCGTACCGCTCTTCCTGGCCGCGAAGAGGGCCTTTATCTGGGCCAATCCGGTGTCTCCTTGGGGGTTTGGTAGGGGTGGCGTCCAGTAGTCGGCCATTGATGCGATGGTGGGCAACGTCTGCGCGATCTTGACCGAGCGGCGCCTTGCGGTGCACTCAGGCCTGCGGCTGGGTGATGTGGTGATCCACGCTGGCGCGGAGGAGCCAGGCAGTGCTCGCGGAGCAGTAAAGGAGGCTTTACTTCGGAGCACTTAGGGTAGAACAGATTGGTGCGCAGCGACGTAGATACAGTCCAATGTCAAATACAGCCCTCAAATGTAGCCCTCTAAAATAGTGGTGGGGAAGGTTTTTGGCGGGATTTCATCGAGTGCGGTTGGCGTCTTATTTTAATAGGGAAGATGCAAATATAATATTTATGAAAATTTTATGATTAAAATGTTAAAAAAATATAAAAGAAAGGCCACTGCACCGTTTTTATTTTAAATAATGTTGTTTTTTAACAATAATTACGAATTAAAAATGACTTGAAAAAAAAACGTATTTTGAAACACCAATCAGCGTTTAGTGACGTCACTCCTGTTATGACAACTTATTTGAGGCTATGGTTGTAAAAGTGAATATTATCTTAGGGGAATATTAATTGCGTTTTTTAATAAAAATGGAAGTTGGGTTTATCAAAGCGGACTCCAGGAATTTACCAAGAGTTAGTGTTGACATGGTTGTAACTTTTTTGTCCAACGTGCAGAGTTTTCAAGTGTAGAAATGAAAGGGACTAAATTACTACGGTATGTATAAATCATAGCTGTTAAACTTTGTATTTTATTCAGCGGCTTCTACACATAGCAGTAATATCAGCTCAACAAGAGAATCTTACGGCGTAAACGCAATCGGCTATGTCGAAATTACAAGAGATGGAGAATTATGTACAGTAAAAAGTCGAGTTACTCTGAAGCATATAGTACGTAAAGAAGGTTATCGTGGTACAGTTATTTTAAATGAAACGCAAAGCTTGGTTCAGTCCTGCCAATGTGGAGATTGTGCCACACATTTTAAACTTCATCCAATTTTCGACGCCATTCTACAACTGTAAAATTAAAAATATGTTATAGACAGGTTTTATAAGTATTAGGTAGGTTACTAACGCGTTTTTACGTACAAGGAGATTAATTAAGCATATAACAAGTATATTCGCCGAATTACGTCAAAGTGATCTTCACAGCATCGAATAATGGTCTTTGGAGAATAATTTTCATTTCTATTCGCAGCTTGAAACCACTTTTTTCTCAGTTATGAGTCAATTAAATTAATTCCATCAAAAGTCAAAAACAATTTATTTGTTAACTTTGTTGAAGTAGATGGGCACATTGGCACAAAACATGAGTCAACGCGGCTTTTTTCGTAATATTTGTGGTAGTGTTATGATCACCTGATGTTGATGGATAGTCCTTTTCAAATTTTTACAAAAATATATCTCGAAAGTCGTAAAAATATGCAAAAGTACCCCAGCGACGAACAAGTACGACCAGTGGCAGACAGGAGTGACGTCATCGGAACCATAGGTCCGTTTTCGCGCGAAAATTTACACAGTCAATTTAAAACTGCATTTTTTCCGATAGATTACAATGTTTTAATTTTTTAATATATCTGTGGTTTATTCTACATGGAATTCTTTAAAATGTTGTGAAATAAAATTGGTGTGATTTTGTGTTACAACCGTCTGCGCAACTGAAGAATTAATGGAATCTTTAAATTATACGCTATTCCGGTCAAGTGAACGTGAGAACTTTATTGTAGTATTGACTACCTCACAGAAGCTTATCGAAAAAGCCAACTCGATATATTTCATGCCAAACTTTCCAAGAAGCATTAAAATGCGTCACACCCACATTCTAATGTAAAAAAGGAAGATTAATACAAAAATAAGTGTTCGGGAACATGCACAAGTATTGGTAAATGAAACAAAATGGAGGAAACTGTCTTTCGAGGTTCCCTCAAGAAGTCCACGGGGAGGTTCCAGTAAATCCCCACACATTTACTGAAACATAGGGAAAGGGGTATTGACTTGACTGCCACTTACTTTGACCACGAGTGCTATAGAATTTGTAAACATTTTAACACTTGACATTAGCTAAATGCACAAATCGTGCGAAACCATTTAGAACAAAAAAAAGTGGTGCAGTTTTAAAAGCGCGGGACCTTCAATAGGCTAGTTGACCCTTTTTGGAAAAAGATTTTAAATGGTTAATTAATGTTCTATTAGACCGAAAAAAAATGTATTGTATTTTTTTTAAACCTAGAAAGCTACAAATCTTTAATTTTAAAATAGACTTTTCATGGACATACAAAAACGCTGTCGGCCATTTTAGTCTATAGATTATCTATGCTATGACGTGAACTGTCGTAAACAAAAACTCGTAAACACGTAGAAAATTACTTTTAACTGAGTTTATAATAAACAAAAACATGATTTCTAATAAATACCACGAAAAATAAAGTAATTATCATTACTGTATTGTACGAGAATATAAAAACATATCCTTGAAGACTCCAGGAAAGTTGTCGATTAAAGTGCCGAAAGAAATTAACCTACGAAACTTTATTACACTTATTCATATGTTGTATCAGTTTTATGTTTATTACTACATTGTAATACTAAATGCACTGTACTTACATAGATGCCTTGTCGTTTCTCTGCTCCGCAGAGCAGAAATCGGGGTTTAGTGCAACAAATTCACCAACCATCAATGCGTCAATTCTTGGCAGATTTGTGCTTTCTGCTTTCACAAAGCCGGCATCCATAATTAGTTTTGTCAAAAAAAAACTAAGTTTACTGTTTTTTTCTTTCCTAAAGTTAAAAGTGTTTTATGATAAATTTAGTCAGACAAAAGAATCCACCTACAGTAACACGCGAATGACATTTAGTTGTTTACCAGAAGAGACGTCAAAATCATGGCGGATGTGGCGAACAGCGTTTTTAGTGTTTAAAAAATATAGACTAAAAAATATTTTTTAAAATTAAATTTCTACAGCAATCTTCTGCTTTTATGAAGTGAAATCGATATATTAAGGTTCCTTAGACTAAATACTTTAAGAAATAAACATTTATTTAATACAATTTGACATGAGTAAACTAGCCTATTTAGGCGGACGTACTTATTGGCAAGAATTTTTATTTTCTATTAATAGTCATTAGGATTAGATAGGTCTTCAGTTTAGTGTATATTTTAATATTTATTAGTAGTGTGTAATTATATTCGCTGTATTGGTAAGTTTTCAACATATCTCACGTATGAATGACCCTTTAGACCCTGGGGGGACAGCCCTCTAGGTGCCGCATATTGTTACAATTCCATTTGATGGTGATGAAAAAGAAATGGAATTAGAGGGCTCTTTAATTGACACTGATGCTTCTGATAACAATTTTAATAACTACAAACGTATACGAGTCTCATCCCGAGAAATATGTAAGCATTGCAACAAAAAGAGAACTCATTACAAGTCCTCCTCAGTGGCTTTTAATGAAAAAGATTGTTTCGCTAGCGTAATATTACGCTAGCGAAACCACAGCGATATCTCGGAGGCAAAAGCAGTTAGAGATATCAGATGAACAGCATATTTTGTTACTGTAAGATAAGCTGGTTAGATATGAAAAAATATCAGCCCTTCATGGGGGACTAACTACCTTTATTCTTAGATATATCAGATTTTTCGTATCTCGTGAATTAAAGCAGCTAGTGGAAGTTGGGGGTCGGTTTGCACATAAACTCGTTTAACTTTCAGCACTTTATTTCACAAAAACTCAGCACTGACTGCCCTCTCCGGTGTCAAGTTCGTGCTTTTATAGAATATTGAGGTAGTATCGTTTCAACACTTTTCATCGACACCGAAACTGACAGTCGGTCATAACAAATAAATATTTATTTAAGACATCTTATAATTAACAATATAAAAACAAACAAATTGTTATATTCTAATAAATTTTACATGAATGCGATTTTAATAATTATTAATAAAAATAAAGCAATAGAAATTTAACACTTCATTGTAAAATGTGTGGTCACATCAGCAATCTATTAAGGTGAAAATTATAAATTCTTACCCTAGTGGCACGAGGCAAGCGGTGTAATTTGTTGCTGACAGATAGACAAGCTGCGTACATCAGAATCACAACCCTTATCCGGGTATTCATAACCTCCGACCCCGAAGATACCAGATATTTCGTATCTCGTGAGCTAAAGCAGCTAGCGGCCCGAGACCAACGGCGCATTTTGTTGCCATTTTGTTGCTGAGTAATCTACCAGATTAAATTATTTGATACGCACCCTTCGTGGGGATTAATTGCCGAGCCATAGACCGGTTATACAACAACCGTTTGCGGTGTATAAGCCTTCCTTCACCTTGAAAATAGCAAATATGGCGTTTTTTGGTACTAAAATAGCTAGAAGCGCAAGACAATCCGCATATCTTGATGCTACTTTGTAGCTGAGAGATAAGCAAGCTATTGCATTGTTTTTTTAAATTAAGCTTTATTGACTCACCCTAAATCCCCTTCGCATTGTATAAGCCTTCTACTACGTCGGAACGGGAAATGAACTGCTTCGATTGCCAAACAAGTCAATTACGTTAAATTCGGTTAACAAATACCACTAACCATACGAACTAAATGGTATATTTTGTTGCTATTGCAGCTAGATCAACTCACCTGTTGCTAATAATGCACTACTTTTTACTGTACTCTAGGATAAATTCACTAAGAAACACTTAGAAGCACTCACAAAAACGAAAAGTACCTTTTGGACAGGTTTTGATCACGATTTCGTTCGTGTTGGTGTATCTAGGGTATTTAATATCGATGGGTGCACATTTTGAGCATTTGTGATGATGCATCTTGGGTTTTTAAATTTCGTTGGCCATAGGGAACAAAAATTACCTTAAATTATTTGATCATTATATCAAGTTAGTACCGGTATGGATATTATTGATCTATGATACCGACCAGTGAATACAAACATACACGATACCAAACCAACGCACACGATGATTTCATTAACTAGCTTTGAATTTATAGGTAAAGGAATTTTTAACATACACATACCTTATTACTACAACGGATAATTACAATTTGTTAAAAAAATACATAAATCAATAAAGACGTGTAATTTTGACCAGATTTATTTATACATACCGAGTGCGTCTTTCGAGTTTTACAGTTCATATCATATCATGATAGTGCGCTCCCGCGCGATCGATCTCATCCACCCCGACAAGTGACGTCAGCACAGGGAGCGCTGGAAATCTCAGAAATTTAAAAAAGGGTCTATACTTCTCGCAGTTACGACTTCGTAAATACTGCATTTATTCACATTAAATAAAAACTAATTTGACATACCTCGTTTATACTTTGTAGTTAGATATATTTAATTGTAACATTTTGACCTTTTAGTGTTCTCCATTAAACTTTCACTAAACTGTATTATATCATGGTGGTATTAATGTTTCTAAGAACCTTTTTAAGTTTAAAACACCGGCCACAAATGTTTTAAAGGAATTAGCTAATAAATTATTTTTTATGTATTATTATTATTACCATTAAGAACTGTTCTACTATAAAAATAGTATTGTATTTATGGTATAACTATACCATAAATACACTCCACATGACTTGGTATTCTGTTTCTTACGAAATTTCAAATACATTTAAAACATATCAAATCAATAAGGTCGCTGCGTATCACCAAAAGTAAGAAATCTTATATCTTCGTTTTATCCAGTCTTTTTAATCAGCTACTTTTTGCAATATTGATTAAAATTCCAGAAGTGTAAAACATTCATACGACACGCGTTTGATTATACCAATTAGATTTTGACTTTTATAGTGTTCCTGACTATGGTAATGTGTCAAAACGGCTATCATAGCAGTCTGCTACTGCGACTGCGTAATTCTTATCTTGACAAGACTAAGGAGCATGGTTCTGGTAATCCGTTTGAGCAGTTCGTCTACGGGACCCAGTTCTTTCGCGATCTACACTTCACTACCAAGCAAGCATGCATAGTGTTATGCCAGCACTTCACTTGGCTATTCGTTTTGCTGTTTATAAACTTGTTAACAAGTCCATAACATCAGGAATGAAAAGGATAGACTGCTGTCAATTTTACATATTATAGCAAACACAATTCGCCAAGTGAAGTGCCGGCATTAAACGGATGTCACATGGATGTCAAACATGGTGTTGGTCAAAGAGTAGTATAATATACCGGAAAGTGTTGGTTTTGTTTTAACTGAGAATCATATAAAGTTTAAATTGTGCCATTAAATTACCCCCTCTCCAATTATTATGTCTAAATTGGGATAAAATAAAAACAGCTCAGAAGTGTTTGCGTCCATATATTATGTGATACCCTAAAAAAAATTGGTTGAGAATGTCTGCTGTAAGGACGTGCCCTGGCCTATACTGCGGACGTACAAAACTCGATGATGGGATGTGGAGTGACTGTGGAGCTTGTCCTCGTGGCTTCCGTACCAATGAATCTAGCTACTGCATGCCTTGTGCTGATGAACCCACACTATACGATTGGCAGTATCTAGGTTTTATGGTGTTGCTTCCCATGGTGCTGCATTGGTTTTTCATTGACATGGTTGCAGTAGGCAAGGGGTATGTTGACTTTTTTGATTATTTGTTATAGCAGGTTAAGCTTTGGACTTTAACTTATATCATCATATGAATGAAAGAATAATCATTTAAAAATGTATTAATCCATGTGGATTACAAGAGTTTTATAGGTAAGAAAGGGTCTAATTTAGATTATAATCATTTTCAGAAAAGATGGTGTTATAATCCAGCACATCTGTGCTTTTATAGAGGTGGTTTCTGGCACACTTGCTGCTCTTTTGGTTTTGCCACCAACAGGATCTATTGCTTTAGAAGTTTGCTCCCCAACAGCTCTGTCAGATTGGTATACACTACTGCATAATCCTCAGCCTGATTATAAAGAAACATTGTATTGTACTCAAGAGGCAGTATATCCTTTGTAAGTATAGAAAATATTGCAAATTTTACTTTTCATTATAACCATAAGCCAAAAGGTTTTTGTTAATGTGTTATAATGTAAACAATGGCATTATTAATTACTTGATCTTATAGCCTTTTTATTAACTCATCATTTTTTTTTTCAGATATACAATAGTGCTCTTAATATATGCATTTAGTTTGCTAATGACTCTATCAATAAGGCCATGGTTGTTAGCCTGGCATTCTTCAAGTCCAGGAAAGAAAGCAATCTATTGTGCATTATATTTTTATCCAATTCTTGTTCTAATACACACAGTGGCTGCTGGTCTTATATGTAAGTTAACATGTTTACATAATTCTGTATATTATCATGTTTTGTTCTTTATTATCTTGTTTGAATAATTTCTCTTCATACTGTTTCTGCACTAAAAATACAGTGTGATTGCACTTCTTCAGTTCTTTAAACTAAAACATAGTTATTAATGGAAAATTTACTGAGCTAAAATTAATTTGGCCATTATTTTAGGATGCTGTATGTGGTGTTGTTTTTGTTAGTAAAAATGTCTGTCTATTTCTTTCCAGATTGTTCATTTCCTTACATAATAATTATAATATCAATGATGACATCAGCATCGCACTTCTCAATAAAGATTGATCAAACAGCTCCAGCTCTGCTGATATCCTCCATGACAAACACACGGAATCTTATTATACTTGTTGGTCATTGGTTGGTGCATGCCTATGGCATAATATCACTAACAGGCTTTAAAGAATTATGGTATCTGTCATTAGTTCCGGCTCCTGCATTGTTTTACATACTTACTGCTCAATTCACAGACCCAATGAAGATACATAATGATTGACAAGCACCAAAGGCATTTGGAAAGTTGGTTTTGAATTGACAGTTTGCATTATGACATATGCAAGCTAAGTGCAAAGACTTGACAAGAAACAGTGTTTAGTGTTGACACATGTTGGATGTATAGTTGGTTAGTTTGGCAATGAAGAACTTTATTAGAGAAAATTTAAAATTTATTAAGTCAAGAGTATAATTAATGTTATTTTATGTAAAGTGAATTATGGCTAATAATGGCTATGTTGAAATGTCACATTATAGTGAGATCCAAACTTTATGGCATTTGTAAATTTAGCAGAGTGCTGAACTCTGCTGAGGATGAAACTCTGTGAATCTTGTTTACTGCTTTGTAACTTGCGACATCTTCACAGCTGCTAATAATAAGTTTGAATCCCACTCTACATCATTATTGTTCATCAATGAGAAATCCTTACTAATATTATAAAGGCGAAAGTTTGTTTGGATGGATGTATGGATGGATGTTTGTTCCTCTTTCACGCAAAAACTACTAAACGGATTTTAATGAAACTTTACAGTAATGTAGCTTATAGATCAGAATAACACATAGGCTATAATTTATAAAGATATTGTGTGAATTGTCCAAAATATAACGATAAATGTCATTTAAGTCTGAAAAAATTCTGCAATCTGCGAGCTATTCAGGCGTGTGCTGCAAAAACAGTTAGTGCTACATGTATATAATGTATGGTGAAAATATTTATCTTAAATAGTCCTACAAAAAATTCTGCGACACCATATATATCTATCTTTTATGAGTAAGCCATTATTGTCAAAATAGTGAACCATAAATACAATAAAAATTGATAATTTATTTCTAATGCACATTTGGTAGTAAATTATGTATGTTATAATTTTAATGTCATAATGTTAGTTCTTTTCACGCTAATATAAGCTACTCGAAATACTAATACTGCGCACACAAAGTCGCCGGCACCAGTTATTGATACATAAAGACCTTGCTTTTATTCGAATTACACGCAGATGAAGTCGCGGGCAAAAGCTAGTGTTAAATATATGTAGTTAAAAAGTATCTAGCTATTGAAAGATTTTATAAGAGCTATGCAAACAAATATAATTCTGAACAGCAAAAAGATCAATAGGGTATTCTTAACCTGGCTGTTACCTTTCCCCTTATAACTCTAATAATCTTTATCATTAACTTATAGGAAAAAACTACGAATGAATAGAGCTGTTATTCGTCTGCTTGAGTGGTGCATCAATTCTAGCGGAACTCCAGCTGTGCTCTACTTTATAAAAAGGTCGTTCTAACTACCAATTGATTAATGATGCAACTTGCTAGACTATTTATAAGAAATAAGATATTAATTTCATATTGTATTATATAGGAACACCAAAAGAATATATACATGAAAAAATTGCATATTTGAGATTTCCCATGCCATCATCAGCCTAAAATGTCCAAGTCTTCTCTATGGCTGTAATAGGGACAGGGATTGAGCTGTAAACTGCCACTTGGAACTAGAGTGGATTTGTGGGTGCTAACGCTTCTTCATGCAGATGGGACCAACGGCTTAGCGTATCACGTTATATAGTCCATATAACCTATCCTATTACGAAAGTTATTTAACTTTCACGTTCGCAGACTGAATGCGCTTATCACAGCGCCATCGAGTTCCTGTTTCCAGCTATGTTGTAATAATATGTATGTTACAATAATTACATAATTTGTAGTATACATTTTGTCAACAGGTATTTCCATGTAATTGCAAGCTAATCAATAGTGATTCTGAAGAGTTATCGGAGGAGTCATGTCGTGTCATCATCATCAGCATCAGCGTATTAAAGCTGCGCGTGGTTGGTCACTCATGGTGAATGCTCCATGATTGATCTACCATGCGGTCCTTGTATGTACGAGTTGGCGGATGTTAAAGACTGTAAATGCAGCCGGGACCAATAGCTTAACTTGCATTCCGAAGCTCCAAATAATATAATTTTTAAGTCCCCAATCCTATATCTATATTATAACATTAATCAGAGCGGGCATGGTTCACTTACATACAACAGCTATAAATAAAATACTACTCATCCCTTAACCACTTAAAACCACATTGACAGCAATTTCAACCATTCGTCCTCAAACATAGCCCATTCACTATTGTCTACATCTACAAGAGGCTCAAGCACGAGCTGCGAACAGCTCCATAAAGTATCGTAATCTTAGATTAAAATAAAAAGGGAAGATACGCTACGCTCATATTAGCATCAAATAAAATATGATCCGATAGGCATGCGTCCGATATATCAAAACGAATCCAAAATCCGATTTGAATCACAAATCGATACCGAACGATTTCTCAACAAGAAAATCCGATTTCAGAAATCTAACCGAACCAAAACGCTAGCGATCTAATACCACCATAGTATCCAAATGTAAATCGGATTCGAAATCCGTGCTTTCGTTTTCGGAAGTCCGTTTTCGGTTTGCTGTTTACGGAAATCTATTGCGCTTCTCTAAGGCGGGATTATTTATCACTGAAAAGAGATGCCGTCTAAGAACATCAAAAGTCGAGCAACTTACATTTTACAACGCTAACCTGAAGTAATAAGGTTTAATTTTGTAAATGGTTTGCAAAATAATAAAAACAAACAAAAAAAAAATACTAAAAAAATATGTAAAAAGAAATCATTGTATATAAGCCGATTTTTAAATGCGCCGCAAAAGTTTTACTCTTAACCGTAAACATAACTTTTCTGCTAGTCCTAAGCCTAGATTTAAAGCGTGAAGGAAATCTACGAGTATCCTTGCTTCCTACAATAATTGTTTGTGATTGTCGTTAGCTAATAAAACCAAATCATAACACAAACTAGTGAATTGGCTTAGTTCGGCACATCTGAAATCGGATATCTAAAAACGGATTTTAAAATCGATTTTGAAATCTGAAATCCGATAAATATCCGTTTGCATTCAAAACCAAAAACGCCCATGTCTATGATCCGACTCATTTAAATAAATGCAACTCTCACATACGCACACGTCTGTAAATAACATTCAATCGAGCGACCGAGACGGAACTACGCTTCAATGCAGAACGAGCAAAATGGCTAATCAGCTTCCGAGTGCGAACGGCTAAGCTGTATTGTTGTCCTTTTCTTGATAACAAAATGGCGATTACATAACATTTGATTTTTGAGAAAAAATCATTTTACAGTTTCACGAATGAGCAGTGTTGCCAAATATTTGTTATTTGATTTTGAACTATTTGTGTTTTTTATAAAAGCATCGAAGCCATTGGTGTCGATTCTGGCAGCATTCTCTAAACTTAAAACTAAATTTAATATCAGTCTGTCCTTTTTATTCTATGTCTAGAATGACAAGGATACACTGTTGTCAAATTTAAGTTTAGCTTTAGAGAATCATGCCAGAATCGACACCATTGTTTTATCTTTATAACACAGAATATACGCCATATTGGTGTCGATTCTGGCGTGATTCTCTAAACTTAAAACTAAATTTAACATCAGTCTTCTGTATAGAGAATGACAAGGATACACTGTGGTCAAATTTAAGTTTAGATTTAGAGAATCATGCCAGAATCGATACTATTGTTATATTGATGTACATGCAGGATGTTAAAATGTCCAATAGGATATTTGAATTTTTTTGAAAACTGCTTATATTTAAAGATTGAGACAAACGATTTAACAGAAAAATAAAAATAAATAAATTAATGCATTTTTTCTCCATTAGACCAATTAAAGTTGAATTTATTTTTAATGGTTTTGAATTTACGGCCAAAACACTCGGTTCGATGATGTCTAATATGTGACGACAACTTTGTGTAAAGAAATTTTAACACCTATGTAGCCTGTGGACGATCTGTGATTACGGAGTAATTATTTGAAGATTTCTTTCTTTTCAAAAATTTTGTGTAAGTATTATACTATTTTACCCCGAACGTAAAAAAAGTTAATAATTTGACCTTCAGATGATTACATATCATTTAAATCTGCCAGTACAACCGGATGGTGAGATCTGCAAAGCATCGCTGCTTTTTCGACAGCCTGGCTAACACCACATCAGCCCGGGCCTGGAAATTATTAAAAAGTGTTGGTCTCGGAAAGTCCCAGGCCTCTGCTGGTTTTTCTTGCTATTTTTCACTTAACGAACTAAACTCTCATTTCTCTTCAATTTCACCTCTAGACTGTATCACCAAAATCCAACACGATTTCTGAATTAAAATCTATTCCGTCTCGTGATCTCGAGCCCTTCTCCTTCTCCTTAGTGTCAACTGACCATGTTAAAGAATTTTTTTGTTCCCTTCGTTCTAAGGCTGTCGGCTGCGACGCCATTAGTCGCACTATGCTTCTAAATATTCAGAATTACATAATTCCAATTTTGACTCATATCATAATTTTTTATCATAAAATCTCTATCATAAAATTGCGAAGGGTGCGGGTTCGAGTCCCGTCTGCTGCCTGGTCCGCGTGGAAATTTTTCTAGTTATATTTTCTTTAGATTAAATATTATTTGTTATAGTATTTTGTTTTAATATAGTATTCTTAAGGAAGTATAGTGGTATTTATTATTGTATATATTTAGGTATTTATCGTATATATAAACATGTATGTATATAGGTATATGTTGTTATGTAGGTATATTTATAGATGTTATGAATTATAATTATTATATTCAGTATCATGTAGTTTTATCAATTTAATATTATTATTTTTTCTTTCACCTTTTGCATTTATTTACTTACTGCATAATGTCTCTGCTTAGCCCGATGGTTGACTGGTAGAGAATACCATGTGGCGTTAAGTGCGCCATTTGTTGTTAAATGACAATATAGAGTAAATAAATAAATAGCATACACAAAGTTGACGTCACACAGTAGACGTCATCGAACCGAGCGTTTTGGCGGTATATTCAAAACCATTAAAAATAAATTCAACTTTAATTGGTTTAATGGAGAAAAAAGACATTAATTCATTTATTATTATTTTTCTGTTACATCTTTTGTCTCAATCTTTAAATACAAATAGCATGTCTTTATGAATAAACGATGATCAATTAGCCATATTGACTGCGGATTTTATGAATTTAGCACAAATAAAACAGTATAACTCAATACCAAATAAAATTAAAAGATACCTATCTAGATTTGATTGATTTGATTTGCGTGATGTTCGTGCGGAGTTGCAATCACTC